AAGACAATAGTTCCTGCATGAAACTGCTCACAACAAGGTCTGTGGATTGCCTTGAGTAACTGGGTCATGATTTCTGGAAAGAGGCATTGCTGTTGAGTTTTTCAAATGTATTTGTTTGGCACTTTGAGCACCACAAGCCGAGTGCCATCTTGTACAATTACATTGGAGAAAAGGCAGACATCTCTACAGCTGATATCTCCAACACTCAGCAACTCACACCAAATCAATCCAGACTGATAAATAGCACTACAGGTAAGAGGGAAATATGTGTTTTTGATTCTGGGGTGGACTGTCCCTTTAACAGACAAACTATGCAACCAATTGTTTTATCATTCATGTATATTGTATTGAACAATATGCTACAATGAACTGTGTGTCTGATACTGACTATCCTTTTTCTTACTGTAGGTTTTGTCTGACTGTGATTAACCTTATAAAAGACCATTCTTATAGTTGAACTGTTATCCAGCCTGTTTTGGGTGTCACTGTCAAGAACCACTCACATAAAGCAAAAGGGTAGGGCTGCTTTTAAAAAAACAATTGTGTCTGTTAGTAGCCAACCACCAAAGACCGTTAAGAGGAACGATTATTATTCATGCCATCAAATAACCCAAACAAGAATTAAAGCTTCGGAGCGCCTGAAGGATTATCCACTAAATAAAGAGGTGCTTTAGCTGCTGATGGTTCTCTGCTGAGCAAGGAAAAGGCTAAATAATGGTGTACGGGGGGGTTCAGAATCGTTTTTCACTGAGCAGAATATGCTCAAATGAACAAATGAGGGTTTTTGCTGTTCACCCTCCATCTTTACTGTAGACTCTACATGCCTGACCTTTCAGATCAGGAGTTTAGCCTGACCAAAACACCCTGAGGGTTCTGATATTTAGTAAATGGACTGCTGAAATCTTCTGATGATGCACGCTTCGTCTGGGCAATGATGCGGTTAGCGGGTGTGAGAAAATAGTTCTTACATGAGACTGCTCACCCCAAGGTCTGTGGATGATCGGAGTAATCGAGTCATGATTTCTGGAGAGAGATATTGCTGTTGAGACCATACTTAGATAGACTTTACCATCTAGATAGACTTTAAGTTTATGTTAAGTGTCTGAACATGTCTTCAAGCTTGTAAGGTAAAATCTTAAAGGAGCATTCTGATCTAGACATCTTAGCAAAAGAAACAAGCTTGTTCACCCCAAAATCAAATACACATATTTTTCCTCTTACCTGTAGTGCTATTTATCAGTCTGCATGGTTTGGGTGTTTGTTGTTCAGTGTTGGAGATATCAGCTGTAGAGATGTCTGCCTTCTCTCCAAAATAATGGAACAAGATGGCACTCAGCTTGTGGTGCTCAAAGAAGCCAAATAATTGAATTTGAAAAACACAATACAAAGATCTCTTTCCGGAAATCATGACCTGGTTACTTAAGGTAATCCACAGATCTTGTTGTGAGCAGTTTGATGTAGGAACTATTTTCTCTTTACAGAGCCACACCTGCAAACTGTATCACTGCACCAAAGGAAGTGTGCATCTACTCTTGGATGGAAACATTAATGGCGTCCACCTTAGCTGAGCTGTAACATTAGCTAGCTCAGTGGTGCTAGGTGAGCTAGCAGTAGATGCATGCTTCTTTCTGCAGGTTGGTATAGTTGGTGGGTGTAGTTGGATAGAAGAAAATTGGTTCCTATATTGAACTGCTTACAACAAGGTCTGTGGATCTATCCATCCATTTGTATCCGCTTATGCAGGGCAAAAGGCCAAGCAAAGCACCCCAGACATCCCTCTCCCCAGCAACACTTTCCAGCTCCTCATGGGGGAACCCAAGATGTTCCCACGCCAGATGAGACATGTAATCCCTCCAGTGTGTTCTGGATCTGCCCCAAGGCCTCCAACTAGTGGGACTTGCCCAGAACACGTCTAATGAGAGGCACCCAGGAGGCATCCTGATCAGTTGCCTGAACCACCTCAACTGACCCCTTTTGATGCGAAGGAGCAGCAGCTCTACTCTGAGCTCCCTCCAGATGTCCAAGCACCTTACCCTGTCTCTAAGGCTATGGATTCTCTTGAGTAACCGGGTCATAATTTCTGGAAAGAGACATTGCCGTTGAGTTTTTCAGCTGTAATGTTTTGGCACTTTGAGCACCACAAGCAGAGTACCAACTAGTTCCATTATATTTGAGAGAAGGCAGACATCTGTAAGGCTGATATCTCCAACACTCAGCAACTCACACCAAAACCATCTAGATATATAAATAGCACTACAGGTAAGAGGGAAAATATGTGTTTTTGATTTGGGGGCTGAACCATGCCTTTAAATATAGCTCCTTTTTTTTGCCAAGATGTCTACATCAGAATGTCCCTTTAAGATTTTACCTTACAAGCTTTAAGACATATGTTTAGACACTAAAAACAATCTAGACTGATAAACAGCATTGTAGGTAAGAGGAAAAGTATGTCCTTTTCATGACATCAACACTGAGTATAAATAAAGGACTTATATTGATGACATCTTTGGGTGACTGTGGAGAAGCAGCTATGGGTCTAAATAACTACAGCTTAGCATCCACGGTATAAACTAACAATATTGGCTGATTATTAACAGGCCATCTTGTGTTAAGCTGTGTTGAGAGAAGCGTGATTGATCAGGCTGGTGGACCGGGCTGAGCCGGGCTTCTGTCCACAGCACAGCAGCAGAGGTGGAGCCTTTTTGTTTTCTGCTCTCCCTCGACAAAAGGAAATAGAGCCGAACTTTGTCCCTGTCGACATCGCGCTGGTACGGGCTGCAGGAAGCTGATAACAGGCTTCATCAAAACCTGAATCGACAGTTTCAGGCCGCCTTGCCCTTCCTGTTTCGGCCGGGTACACAGACGATGGCTCGGGTGGAGGGAGACGGAGAGGGAGAGAGAGGGAGAGCACTCGCCTCCGGCAGATGCCCTATTCATCCCACAGAGGATACTTTGTTACATCTAAATGGCCCTTTGGCTTATACAGGCCCAGGATGTTAATGTGCCACAGGAGCTGATATCACGATCAAAGGAAGTCATTCTGGATCCAACTGAGCACCAAAGATAAACATGGACCTGAGTCTGGCACCGCTTAAATCTGACTCAACTGACCAGGCCTAGTCACAATAACACAGATACACAAAGTTATGAGTCGCAGCATTCACAGAGCAGGCTGAGAAACAATCTGAGCAAGATTATTGATCAGGAGAGGCAGAGGCTAATAGGCCCTTAATCAACCTCATGAGGTGGAATAAAACATCATTTTGTCATTCATTACAGAAGGAAACTGTTCAGTCAGACGAGCAATCCTGCTTTACGAGTTGATGAAAGTTTAATACAAAGGCAGAGCACGGATAGGGTGTTGCATCCCATACCTATAAATATAACTGCAGGCGTTGTAATGTTACAATGACAGCACTATGTTGTAATAACATCACCCGATTATCATCCGGGCAGCTCCTGACAAAACATCAGTCTGTTACCTTAAAGAAATACAGATATCCGAAAAGCGAAAACGACACAATAAGAAATATATAAAGCATAGCTGTGTCGGTGTGAGCTTGTGTAAAGGGGGAATGCAGTCATCTTTTTTTTTTTTTTTTTTTTTTTTTTTTACCTTTGAACAAGAAATCGTATTCATCGTCTCGGTTCCCCATTCTAGACGAGGCCGCTCCAACGTTTGTCTCCGGAAGAGGATGTGAGAAAAGTGTATTATGAATTGTCGTTATAGGCCAGAAAAAATATGGTAAAGGTTTGCACTGAGACTCTGCGCCAGTGTTGGCTGTCAAGGCGAGCTGGCCGCAGAAAGGGAGAGCTCCCAACTCTGCAGCGGGAGGGGAGGAGTCCCTGCACTGCACATACCTGCCTCACGGGGGCGCTCCATACTGACATGCCAGTAGAGTCCACCCAGCTGGAGTCAGACTGTCATGTAATTCTGAATGAAGACAGTAACAGAGCATGGTCACTTCATTTATTTACACTCACAAGTGTGTGTAAAATAGTAATCGAAATAACATTCCCAAAAAATATGCCATTTCTTACACAGCAAAATTTTATCAGGCAGTAATAAACTCAAGGCCAACAATGAACCTACTGAACTGTTTTAAGAAATATGCTCTAGAGATAAATAACAGACAAATATAAAATGGTGGAGATATTTTGCACTATGCCAGAGACTGAATTCAAGACAGGAAAGAAGTATATAAAAACAAAGGAGCAGGGTGCATTTAAGTTATGAGGGAACAACTGTATGAAGGAATATGGAGGTAAATGGTCTTATTATTGAAATTATATGATATAGGCTATAATTTATACTTTTGGCATAGTCAGTCTTTGTTTATGTCATTGATAGCCATTGTTATTTTGTATGTCTTAAAGTTTTACACATCTGCTGTTTTTATGTTTATATTGTTTAGTATTTTTCATGTTTTTTTTGCTGGTAAACTAAACTGGTATTACAATAATTGAAATTAAGACTTTAAAGAGAAAATACAAACTAAAATATACAATAATATATGTCATTTTTTAAAATGATATTGTAACTGTAGTGATTGTGTCTGAAGTCAAATCCTGGATCAAAACTATTCTGTGCCTTTATAACAGCATGAAACAGTAAGTAACTCCAAGGCCAGCATATGCACCAATGGTGATTTATTGTGATATATTGGGGACATTTTCTGGCTCATAACTGCGCATTCAAATAAACTAACTGAAATTAAATAAAATTAAAATTAGAAGAGCCCACTGATTCAGTCTCGGCTTCAGCTTGAAAAACTATTAATACGTCGGAGCATAAATCCAAGTTTTAAATGCTCTAATTCTCTGTTCAGGCAGACATTCTAGTTTATGGTTAATTTCATCTTTATAAAAGCACATTGTGTTTTGGTTTTAGGGTGGATTTTCCCTTTAAAGTCGTGCTGACAGCTGGCCCCGCCCCCAGCCCATCAAGCTCGCCTCCTATTGGCCGAGCGGAGGGTCAGCTGCTGCAGTGAGGATGCACGTGCGGCTCCGCGCATTTCAAGATCAAGATGGCAGCCTCCGTGTGTCGGTGCTACGAGGTTAGACAACCATTCATGTCCTTCATTTCATCTCTCGGGCTTCTATCAGATAATTTAACGAAGGGAACAGGCATAAACGACTTGTTATTAGATTTACTCGGGTCCGGTTAATGTCACGGGGCTTCCGTAGGTTGTTTTAAATGCAGCAGGAACTCGAGATGTCCGTTAGAAAAGGCCTTGTTGCATCAGACAGACGGCAGAGATCTTAATGTTCTTGTTTACCAACTAACGTCTATAATTAATTGTTTGTTTTAGGTTTGTTGGTGTAAAGATGTGTGTGTGTGTGTGTGTGTGTGTGTGTGCGGCGGTTAAAGCCAGTTATATGGAGTTGAATAGTGAGCCGTTTAGACTCATATACATGTAGCCTGGTACTGTCGCATCGATTCAGTTATGAAACATTACAGGATTAATAATGGTGGTGGTCTGTAGTTTAAGTTATACCGGTGTTACATAAGATTCTGTGACCTGACTGGGAATTTTATCTTGTCAGTGCAAATTTGATCATAGTTCACTCACAGCTGTCAGTAAACATGGTGTCCCTATGGTATTTAAATAGGGTTTCAAATTGTGATTGTTTTATCTTGGTGAACCTAAATCTGTGACCCTTTAGATTGTGTGACATAACTGTTGGAACAAATACGCGACAAAGACCAAATACTGGCAGGTTAGGTTTGGTACTACTGGGACACCATTGATGTAACGCCAAGGTTGGACATTAACTTTTATGTCCACCTGCCTCTGTGGTTGGTGGATTCCCAAATCTAACAGCTGGTGAGTGAAGCAAATCTATCAGCCACTTGTGTATTTTACCAACGTTTAGCTGGAGTCTGGTGCTGATTACAACCCTGGGTAACAACAATCAAAATTAAGTATGTTAAAAACCTTAGCAGAAATACTATAGGGGGAAATTCCTATTTGAATCACAGAAGTATAAAACTGGCACACATAGAATTACAGCCACAGAAATAGTGCCACTTGTACTCATCCTGTTGTGCCCTGTGATATGTATGAAAATGCTCAGCAAGGTCCATTTCAATTGTTTTTTGGGGGATCAAGATTACATGAAGAAAACTTTTTTAGTGACTGTGACAGCTGTTCGTGATGGACCCTGTTGAAACCGTCTGTTTCATGCAACCTGACAACGATTTGTTTAAAGCAATAGTTCACCCCCAAATTGAAAATACATATTTTTCCTTTTACCTGTAGTGCTGTTTATCAGTCTAAATTGTTTTGGTGTGAGTTGCTGAGTGTTGGAGATATCAGCCTTACAGATGTCTGCCTTCTCTCAAATATAATGGAACTAGGTGGAACTCGGCTTGTGGTGCTCAAAGTGCCAAAACATTACAGCTGAAAAACTCAACGGCAATGTCTCTTTCCAGAAATTATGACCCGGTTACTCAAGAGAATCCATAGCCTTAGAGACAGGGTAAGGTGCTTGGACATCTGGAGGGAGCTCAGAGTAGAGCTGCTGCTCCTTCGCATCAAAAGGGGTCAGTTGAGGTGGTTCAGGCAACTGATCAGGATGCCTCCTGGGCGCCTCTCATTAGACGTGTTCTGGGCATGTCCCACTAGTTGGAGGCCTTGGGGCAGATCCAGAACACACTGGAGGGATTACATGTCTCATCTGGCGTGGGAACATCTTGGGTTCCCCCAGGAGGAGCTGGAAAGTGTTGCTGGGGAGAGGGATGTCTGGGGTGCTTTGCTTGGCCTTTTGCCCTGCATAAGCGGATACAAATGGATGGATAGATCCACAGACCTTGTTGTAAGCAGTTCAATATAGGAACCAATTTTCTTCTATCCAACTACACCCACCAACTATACCAACCTGCAGAAAGAAGCATGCATCTACTGCTAGCTCACCTAGCACCACTGAGCTAGCTAATGTTACAGCTCAGCTAAGGTGGACGCCATTAATGTTTCCATCTCACGCTGTCATAAACACAAGCCTCTCGTCCAAGAGTAGATGCACACTTCCTTCGGTGCAGTGATACAGTTTGCAGGTGTGGCTCTGTAGAGAGAAAATAGTTCCTACATCAAACTGCTCACAACAAGATCTGTGGATTACCTTAAGTAACCAGGTCATGATTTCCGGAAAGAGATCTTTGTATTGTGTTTTTCAAATTCAATTATTTGGCATCTTTGAGCACCACAAGCAGAGTGCCATCATGTTCCATTATTTTGGAGAGAAGGCAGACATCTCTACAGCTGATATCTCCAACACTGAACAACAAACACCCAAACCATGCAGACTGATAAATAGCACTACAGGTAAGAGGAAAAATATGTGTATTTGATTTTGGGGTGAACGAGCCCTTTAAATGTAGCTTGTTTCTTTTGCTAAGATGTCTAGATCAGAATGCTCCTTTAAGATTTTACCTTACAAGCTTGAAGACATGTTCAGACACTTAACATAAACTTAAAGTCTATCTAGATGGTAAAGTCTATCTAAGTATTGCTGTAGAGAGGTCTGTCTTCTCTCCAATATAATAGAGCTAGATGGCAGTCAGCTTGTGGTGCTTAAAGCGCTAAAAAATGTTTTTGAAGAATTCAACAGCAATGTCTCTTTTTAGAAATCATGACCTGGTTACTCAAGATAATCCACAGACATTGTTGTGAGTAGTTTCATGCATTCTAATTAAACGACACCTGCCAAACTCAGCACCACACAAAAGGAAGCGTGCATCTACTGCTAGCTCACCTAGTACTACTGAGCTCAGCCAAGGAAGACGCCATTAATGTTTAGCTTCTGTGCGGTGATGTGATAAGGGGGTGTAGTTTAATTAGAAAGAAAATAGTTCCTACATGAAACTGCTCACAACAAGGTCTGTGGATTATCTTGAGTAACCAGGTCATGATCTATAGAAAAAGACAATGCTGTTGAGTTTTTCAAATGTAATTATTTGGTGCTTTGAGCACCACAAGCTGAGTGCCATCTAGTTCCATTATGTTGGAGAGAAGGCAGACATCTCTATGGCCGATATCTCCAACACTCAGCAACTCACACCAAAACAATCTAGACTGATAAACAGCACTACAGGTAAGAGGAAGTACGTGCTCTTGATTTTCGGGGTGATCTGTCCCTTTAAATATTGCTCTGTTTTGGCCAAGACATCTAGATCAGAATCAGAATCCAGTTTATTGCCAACTACGTTTTCACATATAAAGAATTATCTTTGGATTAGGTTAAATGTGCATAACATAATCCTATTAAGAGAAAATTAAATTAACCATAAAAGCAAGTATTGAAAAAATCAAGACATAAAAACAGAAGATGCAAATGACCACAATAAATAATAAACGGGTTCTTACAAACAGCGTCACGTCAACATGACTCGTGTTTTTCTGCCACTTTCCCTTTTTATATTCTTGCTCATTACTGTGGGAGCATGACTCATTAGTATCCCATTAATAACCACCTGTCACTCATTCTCTTTCCACTGCAGTGTTGGCAGAGTTGGTGCTTTCATTACTAACAGTGGCTTTCTCTCCATTGCAGCTGGTAGGCAGACGTGCCTTGGCCATCTGCTCCAGGCCTCTTGTCTCCTCATCGTGGAGAGGAGATGCCTACACGTTACGTAGGAGCCCAGCTGCAACTGTGCAGGTACACACTGACAGTTTCCATTTACTTCTAAGTGATGCATACTTATTATTGATTACATTATAGAAACATTTTTAGTTGTTCATGTAACTTAAAAGAATTCATTTAAGTTAGAAAATGTGTTTTACTTGTTTCTCTCAACGTCACAATCATCTGTTCACTCTAAGCGTCTGTCTGTTCGACTCAAGTCCTACTTTGTTTTTGTCTTATTAGGTGCGATATGCTTCAGGACGTAGTAAAGGTTTCCTGGGGGAGTTTGTGGATAACCTGCGTCAGGAGTTCAGTAAGAATCAGGAGATGAAAGAGAACATAAAGAAGTTCAGAGAAGAGGCCAAGAGGCTTGAGGAGTCTGACGCTCTGCAACAAGCCCGCAGGAAATATGTAAGAACGTTATTTGGTTTGCAGCCTCTGTGATTTTTTTATTAGACAATGTCTCTTTGAGTTATAAGTAATTTTTTTTAACGTATTTTATTTGCATCAGTCAGGCATTTGACGTTTTGACGCTTTACATTATTTTTGCAATGTGCAAACAGTATATCTTTTATTTCCTTCATTAGAAATCTATAGAGTCTGAGACAGTGAAGACTTCAGAGGTGTTTCGCAAGACCTTTGGCTCCCTGTCAGAGACCGTCAAGGAGGTAAGGTATCAGGACTTCCTCTAGCTTACCAATAAAACAGTCATACCTCTACACTGATGCCTCATTAAAATTGCTGGACCTTTATGTCCCAACATACTGACTGTCTTCTCAAAATTGACACAGATTACCATGTCATGCTGGAGTTATATCTGTGATCGCTAGTTACAGTTTGGAAATTTGGCCCTTCAATCTAAAAACACATGCCTCAAATGGAAAATAAATGTAGTACTCACCCCATGTTATGTTGACTTGTGAAGAAAATGTTCTTCTTGCATGCCTCCACATTGAATGAAGTATCCAAATTGAAAATTCTTTATGAACTGGAATAACAGGGGCTGCGTTTAACAACCACAAAACTATATCAAAACCTTACTAATAAAAACACTCCTGCACTCCTGTCTCACACAGACAAATAGTACGCCTGAACATGTGCATGTGTTTGGACAATACTCAAATGCAGAAGTGATTTAAATCGTTTTCAATAGGTTTTAGCACTGAATATCGAACCATGTTGACTAATTGTATCTGTCTTTATGTGTTTGTGTGTGTGCCCGTATTGCCATCCTGGCCATAGGGTCTTGAGGAGGTGAGCCGCACTGACATCGGGAAGAAGATCAAGGAAAGTGTGGAGGAGGCTGCCAAGACAGCCAAGCAATCTGCTGAGTCAGTCTCCAGAGGAGGAGAAAAACTGGGCAGAACCGGAGCATTCAGGGCCATCTCACAGGTCAGAGGAGAAAACATCCTCATCCATCCTCATCTTTGCATTGTTGTTGGCACACGTATACCTATCAAAATCCAGGGTTTGATACTTGAGATTTTCAGTCATGATTTAATATTTTTTGATATAGTGGGAAAAACAAAAGGTGTAAAAATGACTAAGCAGTGATTCATGGGCCGTAATTCTTGCAGTGTAAATTAAATCGCTGAAACATCTGCATAGGTCAATATGTCGCTGCTTATGTGTCTACTTTCACTCGGATAAGTTGATACATTCTGAAAACATGTTGGCTGCTGCTGCAAAAGAGTTAGCATGTTTATTGTAGCTACTTACAGATGAATATAATAGACTGAGAAACCACAACAATCTCAAGCAGTGGATGTCGTAGCTTCTTCTAATTCTGGCTTTCGCGGTCAAACAGTCAGCAGTTACCACCCAACTAAAGCATTCAGGTGAAACTTACTTTTAATCTAGAGTGCAGTTATTCAGCTCATAAGATGCAGTGAGCCAAAAGTCCTGTTCTAAACGGTTTGGTAAAATACACATACTTAATATAATACAACTGTGTGTGATCTCTGCAGGGTGTGGAGACTATGAAGAAGGAGATAGATGTTGGGGATGCTGGCCCTTACAGAGCTCCCTCTCAGCTTAGAAAGAGGAGCGATTTCTCCTCCAAAGGAGCCGACAGCGACTCCAGAGTGTTCGAGGCCAATGAGTGAGTAACTGTTGGAACTACTGAAACCTGTTTCACCTCTCACCCCCGGGGTTCTGCAGATCCTTAAAAAGTCTAAAATCCTATAAACCTGTATTTTAGGCCTAAAATAACAACAAATTTGGATCCATCTGGACCTTGTCCAAGAAAACACTAAAATTAGGAACTATGGGTATAAAGGCTTTGAAATCACATGGTCAGAAAAACATAACGCCCCCGTAAAAAGCCACCAGAAAACACCTGCCATCACCCAATGTTGTTCTGTATTCACATCGGAAGCATCATCAAAGTCTGGACCCAGCATGACTTGTTATGCACTCAAACCGTTAACTCCTACAGCTCCAGTAAAAGGACCTCCAGACAGTGTTTGGATCTTCTAGGCCAACAGTAAAAGTGGAGATGCTCTGGACTTGACACTCGGTAGTTACGCATCAGTCAAACCATGTTCCCTGATTCTGACATCACTAGTATGAATGGGAAATAGGTCTTAAAATGCATTCAAAATGGACTTAAAAAGATCCTAAAAAGTCTTAAATCTAACTTCTTCAGTCCTGCAGAAATCCTCTCACCCTCTTTTCTAATAAGAATGTATCTTCACTTGGACAGTGCATGTTCCCTATTAATGCATAACCATACTTGTTGTGAACATCTCTAATCACAGACCTGATTTTCTTGTATTTTGTGACGCAGAGAGGCGATGGGAGTTGTTCTCCACAAGGACTCAAAGTGGTACCAGCAGTGGAAGGACTTCAAGGACAATAATGTAGTTTTTAACAGTAAGGAAATCCTCTGCATTTATTGTTAGATGCTGAAGAATTAGACTTATGTGTGAGTGTGTGTGTGTAATTTCCTTTAAAGGCAGCAGGTGGCACCAGATTCTTTACAGTAGAGTGCATCAAACTGATACAGATCAGAGGTGTTTATCTAGTCCACAGTGCTCTCACAGGTGCAGGTTTTCTCCACCATTAGCACTGAAAAACATGTTTATATATCTTTATATTAAACTGTTTCTCCTAATATTCCCTTTTTGTTCTCTACAGGATTCTTTGAGATGAAGATGAAATATGATGAAAGTGACAATGCCTTGGTCAGAGCATCCAGAGCTGTGACTGACAAAGTCACCGGTTTCCTAGGTAATGCTCCTCCAGAGTTGGTTGTGATTTTGCAGTTTCTGGTCATTGTCATAATCTTTTATATGATTGTCCTGGCCAAGCCCCTCTATATACAATATAAATAACAGTTTGTTCCGAGAATAGAATAAAATCTGAAACCTCATGTCTTGATGTACTTGCACATCTCTGCTTTTTCTCATCGTTCTTAATGTCCCATCTGTTGTACCCACAGATCTGTTTGTTGTTCCTACTGTTGATGTTGTTGGCATTTGTTTTCCAGGCGGTCTTTTCTCTAAGACAGAAATGTCCGAAGTGCTGACGGAGATCGTGAAGGCGGACCCCACCTTTGACAAAGACTCTTTCCTCAAACAGTGTGAGAAAGACATCATCCCTAACATACTGGAGGTAAACAGACTCTGCTACTGTCTCACGGTTTGTTCTCAACTCTGCTTCATTCACACTCCTCTCTTTGCTCAGTACCTGAGGGTATTTCGTTAATGAGGCTAAGAAATGACCTACTGATGAAGGTCTTGCTTCATTAAATGTGAAATATTACTCCACCTCGGATCAGATTAAGTAACTGAATTTGTGACATCTCTGGTTAAAATTAATAAAGTCAGGCTGGAGCTGTCAGATTTTAGAGAAAGTTCTAAGTGAGCAAAAGATGCAAGTCGAATTACTGAAGGCAGGGAACACTTAAAACAATCTGCTGTCTGCTTCCTAGTCACAGAACAAGGGCTGATGATGCAGTTACAAGCATATAATAATGACTAAGATATACATTTCTAGCCTCATTTGGCAGCCATATCAGATTGAGAGTGCTCTACAGTCATCTAATCGCATTTAATTTGGAGAAATAGAATGAAAATCTGTCACTATGACTGCAAGACAACAGAAAACGGGCAGGATTTCACAAAATAACTGGTTTACTGGCTCACTTAGTGAAATACCTTTCTGATGTTGTAAACAATCATTGTTGATGCAGTGTCCCTGTCCTTTCTGCAGGCTATGATCCGTGGAGAGCTGGATGTATTAAAAGACTGGTGCTATGAAGCTGTAAGTTATATACTGCTGTCTCTACATTTTGCATCCAGTTAAATGCTAAGTGAATACAACATTTAAGGTGAAATGGTTTTCAGTCTGACCTCAGGCTCAGCAGCTTCTCTTTATATTTTTATAGATCCTGTAATATATTTACTTCAGGCACTTTTCACTTTGTCAATGTTTTGATGTATTTGCAAATGGGCACAATGACCTTTTCATAGAAATAGAAATAAAGACCCTCACAAATGAAACTATGCCGGTCCATCCAATTTAGTGAACAAGCAAGTATGTGTGAAGCTTCATTTTCATGCCAAGAGTGTTTTTGTGTACCTGTTCTCAGACGTACAGTCAGCTGGCTCACCCCATCCAGCAGGCCAGGGCGCTGGGGCTGCTCTTCCAGTCCAAAATCCTGGACATTGATAACATAGATGTAAGTCACACCTGTACACCAGTTGTCACACACATTGTGTTATACTTTACTGTGTTCTCAAATGTCTAAACCCTCTCTCTATTCAGCCTCTTTCCTCTCAGCAAACATTCACATCATTTATTGTTTGCATGCCATTTGCTGCAGAAAGGGAAAATAACCTTTATTAACTGTTTTCTTCTCATTGAATTTGCTCATTGTCTCTTTCTGTTTTTAGCTAGCAATGGGCAAGATGATGGACCAGGGCCCAGTGCTGATTATAACCTTCCAGGCTCAGGTCGTCATGGTGATCCGCGGCCCCAAAGGAGATATCGTGGAAGGAGATCCGGTCAGTGAACTCATAATTACTTGCACCAGAGTAGTAAATCTGATAGAATCGGTTATATCAAGGAAGTAAATGGCTGAAATTAGATCAGCACTCTATAACATGCTTACCGTTTGCGTCTGTCTTAATTACTCTGAATTTCATAGGTCTGATGGAGCAATAGGACTCTGGCTTGTTTTACTTCATGCCACTAATATGCTCGGATTTAAACTGCTGACTATGAAGATATCTCATATGAGTATTAATATTTCTAGTCTGTCTGGCAAGTTGCATCATACATCCTGAAAGATATTACATAAGTTATGGTTGTTCATAAGCCTGGCATCGCAGCACCAATTCACAAATGTATATTAGTCTGGAGCCTCTCAGTTCATTTTTGAGGGGTGTTATCAACAGATGTACAGCCAAATGCCTCTGGATGCAATTTAATAGGCCTATAGCTAAGCAAGAGACTATGGTGTAGCATCAGTATGTCCGAATTTGAAAATATTACTTCAGCAGAAAGCTACAGCCATCTTGCTTGTTTTTGAAAAAGCCTCAACAGGGCTCCTCTTTACCAAGATAGGATTATGCTCGTCATATTGTGAGGGTGGGTGAGCCAAAAATTATGTCATCATGTATGTTGTGTTAAGCGCGAATGCTCTGCAGGTTGTTATTCATCGAATCAAACCTGCTCCACATTAGATGAGAGGTTGTGATTGGTTTGAGTGTCGGGTCGGCTGGAAATCAAAGAAGGGGAGGGAAACCAGATGTATCTGCCAAAGCTAATAAAACATGAGCTCAGATTTGTCTGGTTCCGAGGCTAGTTGTTCGCAGCTCCAGTTCTGACATTTGAACTTAAGTCTAGAGGAGCCCACTACCCTCTACATACCGTCTCCAGGGGACTGATCTTTGCTCTTCTCCTCCCTCAACAGGAAAAGGTGATGAGGATGATGTATGTTTGGGCGCTGTGTCGTGACCAGGAGGAGCTGAACCCCAACGCAGCCTGGAGACTCTTGGACATCTCTGCCTCCAGCACTGAGCAGGCTCTCTAGGAGGAGGAGGAGGAGGAGGAGCACAGGTGAAAAGGCAGAAACTGTGATGAAGGGCAGAAGACATATGGATGTGCCTGTAACACCTGCACGCACTGACTCACACATGTATATTAACACCTGAGTGCAGAGTGCATCCATGCTCCTGTGTCACGCCAGAGACTGTATTTGCACACACTCACATTTCCTATTGTTATTCAGAGGGTTTATGTGCACGTGTATATTCATTCACTCCATGTTGTGAAGATATACATGAACTTAACCCACTGGTATATGATATATCCATAGAAAACTGTGCATCCACCAACATGTGTGTGCTGTCTCCTGCACTGGTTGGCTCAGTGTTTGGGTTTCCAGATGGAGAGTGAATATAGAACATTTACATTGATATTCAAATGGATTGGACCGACTTCTTCACCACCTGGCTAAAAGAGGAGCGTGTGCCATTACCCTCATTGTTATATCCATCCATACATGCCTGATGGCTACATCCATGAGGATCGACAGAAGAAAAGGACATGGCACCTGTGGCTTTACTTGCTGGTCTCGAGAGGACATCTGAAGTCTTAAACTAGGTTTACTGTCAACACTGTCTTTGTCAAATAATGTCAACAGGAAATTAAAATGTGCAGCAACCAACATAGCTGAGTGGGACAGCATGAGAGACCTTGTTGATCAAGGCAAGCATGCTTCAAGTTAAAGGGGCACTCCACCAATTTTACACATAAGGATCAGTTTACGTGTCACAAGGATTCTGCCCAACCTGTGTAAACAGCTCTGGAGGGAGCTTTTTAAAACCTGATAAAATAACACTGATGATGTCATCAGTTACCTCAGATTGGGCTTTTTAACAGAAAGCTTGTTCATGTTACAGACTTGAGATGTGGAGTTTGAAAGAAGTGAATATTTACCAGGCAGGTAGGTTCTCATGGAAGATGTCATTGAGTTTCATTACAGGAAATAAAGGATCCAGTGTTGTTCAAGCTCAACTCATACTATGGAATAAATTAAAATATTTAAGCCTCTACTGCTTCTATTTCAACCATTCTTTTTATAATTTATCTCTTGTGAGTCTCAAAACTTTATGGAACTGCAGTACTAAATGGCTGCAGAGTACAACTTTAAGGCTTTACTTGCAAATTGTTCTTTCCGCATAGCTGCAAGGGTCTGTGAGATTTAATAATACCATCATCTGCCTGTGTCTGTGAGGCTCTGCCAACACTTTCCCTATGCAGATGCCCAATGTAATATAAACAGAAGTTAATGTCCACTGTCTGGAGTGTGTCTGGCCCTTAAATGTCCTCTTAACAATAAATTCCTTAAAGGTCCAGTGTGTAGGATTTAGGGGGAAATATTGGCAGAAATTGAATATCATAGTCGTCACTATGTTTTCATAATACAATCACCTGAAACTAAGAAACGGTGTTTTTGTTACCTTAGAATGAGCTGTGTATATCTACACACAGAGCGGGTCTTCTTCCACAGAGTCCACCATGTTGTCTCTAAAGTAGCCCAGACCAGACTAACCAATGCCGGCTCTAGATGGGGTCATTCGTGTTTTCACGTCTGCCCCTGTAGTTGTCCTTTACACTTGGCACACAGGAGAAGTTTTAGTTGGTTGCAATCTGCAAAATCACCACTAGATGTCACTAAATCCCACACACTAGAACTTTAAGATCACCAGGTGAAATTAACCATTAAGACACAGTTGTCAATGATTTTAGAGAGAAAATATTTGAAGGGTTTTTTTTCTAGACCAAATTACCATCGCCTTTTGGGGGAAAAAAAAGCTCCTTAAAGGTATTCTATACAGGAATTGTTGGTTACTGTTCATGAAACGTATTGCCAGCAAGAACAAAAGTGAAATCCAACCCCAGATTCACTCCTGTGTTGAAACGGGCTTTGTCCACTGGGCGTTTTGCCTCGCTATATTTGCCTTTTTCTGCACTGTGTCCTTTGTTTTCATAGCTACAGATTCATAGCTGAAGATACAGGCAGAGGGCAAAGTCTCTGTAGTTAAAGACACTGCCACACACTTCATACTTCATCATAAGTGCTGAGTAAAATGAATTTATATAGGTTTGTTTTTTTGTTTTTGTTTTTGAAAATACTGCATAATATACATTTAAGGAATTTTTAGCCTTGGATCAAAATGCAGCTGTGGTGGTTCCTGCTTGGTTCCTGTTGGCTTTTACATCAGAAACATGTCCAAACTTAAATAGTACAAAAAGTAAGATGATGTTTGAACCATTAAATGTAGGATGTAATGATCTGTGTAGTCCGGGTCCATGCTGTCCTGTATACTGTAGCTCAGAGCGCCCAGTGCACCCAGAAACCACAAGCAACTGGAGAAAACATGCCTTTGTATTTGCATTTGTTTTTTCAAGTTGCAGTGCATTGGGCTCCCAGTCACTGTATATCCTGTACAGCCTCAATAAGAACTGTATTGTATCTACATGTTAATATAAGCTCTCAACTCCTTGTAAATATATTAACTGTTAAGTACTGCTTTTTTTGTAAGTCTCCATGGGATCACATTTGAATTTGTTATCATGGCTTTATTGTTTGAAGATTATTTGTCCTCTCATGTTGTACGTTTTTCAGCCATTTGTTTTACTTCGTTTACTTTTATATGTGTGGTTTTTCAATGGGTTTTGGCTGAAGATGAATAAGCACAGCACTGTAATATTGCATTGACTTTGTTGACGTTTATACTGTGTGACCACGTGGGTCTCTACTCACTCGCCAATGAAGATTGAACACATTATGATTGTACTGTAACTGTCTTTCCTTGATGTAATTAATTGACAGAAACGTCCATATGTGTGAAGAGAAGTTGAGCTCCTGATGAATATCGTTAGTGCCTAGATTACACCACGAGAATCTGAGCAGGTTTTGTTTGTGTAACAGTTGGTGTGAGGTGGCTTGTTATTAACTATGATGGTGACATCATGCTCAAATAACATTCCTGGTGTGTTCTGATGATTGTGTCACTCCTGGGATGAAAAATAAAACCTACAAATTAGGCACTACTCTCAGTTAAGTAACTCAAAAAATGCTTGAGAACTCCTTAAACATGCATGACCAGCTGTGAGAGAGAGACTTAGTGAAAAACCTGCGGCAGTACTCAATCAGAAATCACTGTAAGGCCACAGTCACACATGAGCAAATGCAGGCGAGTGACCATCGCCTGCTCAGGCAATAATTGTGCTCAGTTGCCTGTTGCTGCCAGCCAGTCAGCAGCTCTCATGTGGGGCAGCTTGTATTTTTTAATGGCCAGTATCGTACGATTTTGGCTTGTTAGACACGGCAACAACTAGTCTCCTCCACGCATCGCTGGTCAAAGTCCACCGAAGTTAAACTCCATGCGATACAGAGATACAAAGTTGCTTTGCTAACAGGAAGTGAATATTTTATTCGCCCCTTTGCTCACATTAAATGGAAGTGAACAGAAGGTGAATATTCACCAATGTTAATTTCACACTGTCCACAGCAAAATGTCTCAGCAAGCATTGGTCAGATTGCTTTGTAATATTGTTTAGATATTTTTGGTCCCCAGTCCATTAATATAAACGTTTATTGAGGCCTCAACTCTCATCTACATAGCATCTTCAGCAAATTTTGCATGAAATTTACTCCTTCCTGCGATCCAGAGAACAAACTATCCACTTCATGAGCTTTCCTTTTAGTGCCACCACAAGCCAAAATCATCATCTGTGCCTACAAAATACTGTTAACATCATTAAAAATTAAGATTGCCAAGTCATCCAAAAGGAAAAATGGCTTAAATTTAACAACCATTAGTCTAACACGACCCTGAGGAGAAACTTTATTATTGCTCCACTACTCGTACGGCACTAAAATCTCAACTATGTTTGCTCTATGCAACACACATTTTCTTCAGATGGAGTAGACTGGGTTACAGCAAGTGACAAGAGACTCAGCTTCCTAACTCATTAGCATGTCTAAAAAAAATATATAGTGTATACAATGGTGCAAGAAACCTCAAGGTTTGCTTGAATGACAATCTAGTTGTCGCCACATTTTCTCATAATTATAAGAAATTCTCCAAACTGTAAAGTGTATATTTCACTAACACTTACACATTTCATCCATCTTTCAACTTTAAGTTTTAAGTTGACCAAAGAGAAAATTTATTCATGAGTTTTTCTGTTTTTACCCAGTAATATGTCTCTGCAGAATAAAGAGAGCTGTATTATGATTTGCTTCGTCCAAGCTTTCTTAGACTCAGCAGCTTTGTATGTTTTGTGTGTTTGTGCTCACGAGAAAATTAAACTCTGCACGTTGTGTGTGTGTCCGTTGTTTTCTCATTTCAAAACTGACACGCTTTGATAGATGCTCATAGATCTGGCCATTGACGCTGGTTGATAAACCTATGGATTGGTAGTATAGGGATGATAGATCAGGCTTTAAATATCGCATGCCTGTAGATTCACAACCAGGGCCAATATATAGGGGACCTCATCCCAGAGCTGTCTGTTGTGATGAATGACTAGGGATGTCCTTATACTAACTAACCTCCTTTGGTCCTCCACACCCTACTCGCTCCTCCTGACTGTGAGTGAAGTCAACTGAGTGTTGATTCCTCTGTCGTGTAAGCTCAATTAAAGCTAATCTTTTTGGTTCTTTTAATATGCTGCACATGTTAACAGTAAATCCATTTAAATCACAGGATATGATGAGAGCATTCTTGCAGAAAAAGTGCACGTTTTGCCCCCTGAGCGATGAGCGCTCTTATTGTACATATATGAATGGGGATGGATGCACGAACACAACAGCCTGGAGGCAGTGCCGTGCTCTTCTTTATCTACTTCTTTAGTTATTACAGTATGTTCTTGCACACAACCATGTAAACACAAAGCTGTGCTCCACATAATAAAAAGGCTTTCAGTGTAGTGTATGCAGCAACATCATTATGATTATGTAAGCAAATATCATACAGTATAAAGGTCAAAGTTAGTTTGCCTAAAAGGACAGACTCAGGGCAACAAATGCTCGGTTCCCCACATGCCTGTATTCATATGGCTCAAGGTTTTAGTTACTCAGACTCACCTGCTGTCATGGGGTTCAGGTATCCTGTAGCGGTGACCTACGTCTGCTCTGTGAACCACAGCTTGACCTCCTGGTGCACCATCTGTAACAGCAAAGATAGCAATGGAAATGTTGAATTTCATAACCCTGCAGGCTGGAGACTCTTATCAATTAGGACCCCAGTGGGCAGCCTGCTGGAGCAGTGCTCAGTGTGATTTGATTATGAGCCCCTTCAGGGCAGTCTTACAATTCCACTGACTATTAATTAAACCTACAGGGAGAACCCATGCGGCCGCAGGCAGGGAACATGTGGATGCGTACGGACTGCAATCTGCCCCGGTGTTTGTACAGTTTTAATTGTGTCAATTAATTACTTCTCACAGTGAGTATCTGGAGCAGAGCCACAGGTGCAGCCAGGTTGCTCTACTTGTTTTGTTTCACATCTTGATCATGTCATTTCTTTGCAGGTGAGCAAAACTTGGCAATGAAGTCTGACATAAGATGTAGCTCCATCATCTTATACGACCCACAATAATGAAGAAGCCTTTCTCTACGCATATGCAACCCATAGGATCTATGTTACATTAATCGACCAGCTTTGAAACTCTTGATAGATTTTGTCCGGACTTTTTCTTCCAAACCAATCATCAAGTAAACATGTTCTACAGTGAGGTGGTAAATTAGTTTCAGTCTTGCCCGCAGTTTCTATTTTGTTTACATGGTATTAATTACAAAATAGCACAGTAAACCTGGAGTGTGGTCAGCAGGGACTCACCATTCACGTATGCCCTGAGGCCTGAATACAAGTTCATTTAGCCATGCATGTTTTGTACCCAGTCAAAGTCATAGCCAGCATTTTATGAATACTGAGGTCATGAGTCAGAGTCAATTCCCCAATACGACCCAAAGACACCAAAAGCACAAAAAAACTCTACAATTTTAAATTTGAGGGCTTTTTAGGAACTTTTATTTTATTTTTTATTATCTGCAAGTTTTATTCGAGTGGAGTAGTTTTGTTTCAGGAAATTCCTTAGAAAATCAACAACTGCTCAAAACACAAAAATGTTTCGGAACATCTCTATTTACCGTATGACCCTATTATTTCTACCAAATTACAAAGTTCTTTTAAAAGGAAACTTTCTAAGGAATTAAACACCCTTAAAACAAAGAGTTACCATTTCATTTCATTTCATTTTGCTGTTTCTAAACTCTCTCCATGCTTCCAGGAATAACATGAGAATTATTGAATCCTAGCGAAAAAACAGTGGGGCTAGAAATACTGTAATCAGCTTAAACATATGTACATTTGTTTCTGTAGCCTATAGAAACTCTAGAAACTATGGAAAAGGTTGCTTTAAAAACCCAGAAAAACCTCAGTGTCCAGTTGTACCTATAGCCCTTTATGGAGGTGTGGAGCTGAGTCACATGACTTGGACTGGAGTCAGACTCAAGCCATAGATTTTATGACTTTAGAGTCGACTTCACAAAACTAAAAGAGAATAAAGACACGATCGATACTGGACTCCAAGATGGTGCCTATTCAGTCCAATGAAAATTGCTCACCTGGTGCATTTGCCAAAAAACATTTCTACCATCAAGGTTTACTTTACTGTTGCCCACTGAATATGTGCAGTAGTGTTTCTCCCACTGGCCCCACCCTCAAGTTCCTGGTCAGCCCATGGACTTAACATCATGATCACATCAGATTTTTAAATTGCTTTTCTAGACTCGAGGAAAGTTTTACAAATATAAAACTTCCATGGATCAGAAATTTATAACTGATCCAGGGAGAGCAAGGGAGCAAAATGCAGGCTGTGACACATAAAGCATCCATGAATTTTCTGAATTAATGTATTATTACTTTGTTGTTAAAATGCTAATACATTTGGTGGAGCACACATCATGACTTGTTTAGGACTCAAAACTCAAAGCTTAAGACTTGGGACTTGACTTGTGACTTTCTCTTCTTGACTTGGGGGCAAACAGGGTTGCAGCAATACACCAGTTTCACGGTATACCATGATAGAAAAGTTAACGATTATCATACCCTGTATATTCCCAGGTAGCCAAAATGACTTGGCCCAGATTTGGCCTGAACTCGGCTAGGTCCAGTTGCCTGATTCAGCTGAGACTCTAAATAAATAACGCCCCAGAATCAGGCTAAATCAGCCGGCCAGATTGCGGCTGCCAACACTGCCATCATTGGGCCGTTATCAGAAATGACGTGGCCCAGCATCAGCCCAAACTGAGCATGCCAGATGAAATTAGCCAGGCTGACTCCAGTAACCTGACTCGGCTGAGACTCGGCAAATATGACGCCCCAGAATCGGGCAATATCAGATGGCCAGATTCCGGCTGCAAACACTGCCATCATTGGGCTGTTATCAGAAATGACCTGGCCCAGCTTCGGCCCGAACTCAGCATGCCGGATGAAATTAGCCAGGCTGGGTCCAGTTGCCAGACTCGACTGAGACTCGGCATGAATGTCGCCCCAGAATCAGGTCAAATCAGCTGTCCAGATTCCAGCTGCTCACACTGCCATCACTGGGCCATTATCAGAAATGACCTGGCCCAGCATGGGCACGAACTCGGCATGCCAGATGAAATTAGCTGGGCCGCATCTAGTTGCCTGACTCGGCTGAGTCTTGGTATGAGTGATGCCCCAGAAACTGGCCAAATCAGCTGGCCAGATTCCGGCTGCCGATCCTACCATCATTGGGCCCTTCTCAAAAATGACCTGGCCCAGCATCGGCCCCAATTTGGCATGCTGGATGAAATTAGCCAGGCTTGATTCAGGCTGCTGACACTGCCATTATTGGGTTTGCTTATCTATGATACTAAAAAATAAATGCAACGGCACATTGAATCTCCTTTAATTTAACTAATTTTCTATGGGGAAACTTTTTACACATACTTCCATTAACAAAAATGTCCAATTCAATTTTCAATTATAGTAATAAAACGTTTGTTCAACCAAAAA